GACTAGTTCGCTAATTATATCTGAAGCTTTAGTGTTCGAATCCTTTGGATGTATTGATGAAAGTCTTTAATAAGAGATCGAGAAGAGTTTATTCAGAGAATTGTATCAAACTACTTCATCTCAAAAATTTCTTCTGGCGCATACACAGCGCCATTAGAAGTTTTGATGAAAATTTGGTTTATGTATCAGTACTTGTTATTGGAAGTGACTGACTGCAAATACCGGCACGTTTAGATGTCGTTTCCTGGCATTCCGACCATGCCGGGCATGATCCATCCTATTGGAGATGCCTATGCCGCTTTGGCGGCCTCCACAATGAGGCCTATGGGAGGACCGATGTGTGGAATGGGAGGACGTGCAGATATCCCAAAAACTACTCGGATGTGGGTGCCAAATTCGATGGTTGGAGCCATCATTGGAAGCAAGGTACTCATTCATTTTGTGTTATGCTAAGTGAGATAGAATTTGACTTTTCGCACTAACGAAAAACTGCTCTCTATTCACATATCAATTCCATGCTACATAGTTTCTGTATGTGTGTATACTATGCAAGTATTCTTCATAGGAATATTAGGGGTTTTGCGATCCCATCAAGGTAGATAGGTTTGTCGTACGCCATTCATTCCAGCATTTATTCTTCAAGCAACATTGTTCTTCCAATCAAGTGCCAGCAAAAAAAAAATGAGGCTTTCTTGATCAACTATCTGTATAAAAAATTGAGCCAAAGAGTGTTAGGTTAGGCAAGGTTTTTTTTTGGGGTGGCGGACTTTATGAACGATAGCTATTGTCAGCTGGTAGTTTGGGACGCGCTTGGTGTGGCTCGGCACACAAAAATAATCATATTCACTTTACTCACCTTGCTAGTGCTTTCTTCAAGTTTGTAAAGCCTTTGAAAAACTTGTAAAGATCAAAACAACGGCTGTCAATTAGAGCTATCGTTCATAAACTCATACACCCCTTTTTTTGCATTTCCTTTGAAGGATCGTTTTGAATTTTCCTTTTTTTGCGAACTTCATCATGCGTGCACAGCAGCCGCTATAGCTCTTCCTGAGTGTTTTAGCGCGCAAAACATGCCAGATGCTTAATGTAAAATTAGGTTTATGCAGCCTATCTGCACCACTAGTAACAAATAGGTGAAAGTGTGTAGAAATGGGAAATTCTCAGCATTACATTTATTCAAAACATCTCAGAACGTGAGAACGGCTACAAATGCTTGAATTGACCTAATATCTTGCAATTAGATGTAGGTGGGAGTAAATTCTTCGTATTTAGGGTAGCAACATCCGCAATATCATAAGAAACTCGGGTGCAAATGTAAGGATAGAAGGTGGTGGTGAGCGCAAGGATGCAGAGCGAAAGGAGGAACCAGAAAAGAAAGAGGAGGCGGGCGATTCTCAGGCACGCACGGAAGCTGAAGAAAAATCGCACGCTGACGTCGTCCCTGTTGAGGAGCGGCGGAACGATGTAAGAGATTTTTCTTACCAATTTCTCGCCTTCATTAAGTGGATTAATCTTTCCTACTACCAACTTACGACAAAAGGGTGAAAATGTTCATATGTTCGTTCTAACATGCTTACTGGGCATACCTCATTATTTATCACTGAAACCTGTAAGAATTAGAGATTGCCTTTGAAGTCTTTTACGAATGCACACAAAATTCCTCAAATTTTTTTTCTCATTTTAGTTTTTTCCTCAAAATATTGATTATTTTTATTTATATGTTTCTCTTTGATAAAGATAGGTATGAGCGTATTGTGCTGTTCATAGCACATAGATCTTTCCTCCTTATAGGATGGCGAGCGTCTTGTTACCATTACTGGTAATGATGCACAGCAGTATCGGGCACAATTTTTGATATTCAATCGCGTTGCTGAGCAGTCCCAACATCTAATTGACGAGGTTTGTTTTTTTT